TTAATGTAATGACAGTAAATATTATTATTTAAATAAAGTCTCGCATTTAATGCCCGTTCGCGATAAAAAAAAAAAAATTATATACTATATATATATATTATAATAAATTATCAAATAAACTTTAATAAATGATTTTTAAATGTTTAAAAAATATATGATTAAATTTTTATATTATATTAATTAAATTTTTTCAAAAACAAGTGTCCCATACTGTATATTATATAACAAAAATAATAAATTAATAAAATCTTAAACTAAATTTTTTTAATTGTTACTTATATTATTTGTTATAAATTCAATAAATTGTGTTTAATTTCATTTTATAAAAATATTTTATTTTATTAATTAATTATTAAATTACAAGTTAAATAAAAAATCCAAACATTTGCATTAAATTATATGATTTTTAAATTATATTATAATTTTTATACATGTGTAGTATATTATACAAATTAAAATAAACAAAATAATTTCTCGCCTTTCCAATATTTTGATTTGATGTTTCTCTTTGGCTCATGCGTTGGGGAAAATTTTTCTGAGATTGATTATTCCCACAGGACCTTATGACTTACTATGCATCATCTGACGATTTTTCCATGTATATTGTACAAAAACTGTGGGGAAAAAAGTTCACGGAATAACATGCAAAAGTTAATCAGGTTACAGGTGATGAACTATTTTAGTAATATTAATTAGACGCCTTTCGTCATTTGCGTCATTCGATCTACCAGTAATAACGTTTTCAAACACGCCACTGTGTAAAAGAAAATAAAATTTGTCCCATGGTGGGAACTTTTTAATTTTTCAATTCCTATAAAATCGCTCAATCTCTCACCTTCAAATTCCTTGACTTTGTTCTAAAGTCCAAAAAAAAAAAAAAAAAACAAAAAAATTTTTTTTTTTAAAAAAAACAGTTTACCCTAGTTAACCTTACCCAAATCCTTATTCAAAATCTATTTGCCTATACCTAGTACTTGAGCCCATTAGGTTAGGCCCAGCTTAAGGTGGCTTGAGGTTTCGCGACGGGTGAAATTACAAAAAAAATTCTTAAGACAGACCACAGAACCACTTTTTTTTTTTTTTCCCTTTTATCCGAGAGATCCTGCCTCAACCTTTTCTACGCATAACCAAACTCAACAATTCTATACGAAAGTGAAATTTCGCGTATCTCGGTCATTTACACTTTGTTCAGTAATCAACGTTTACACCCTTGGTTTCGAATAAGCTGTAGTTTTGCTCTATCGGAAACAAAGAAAGCATAAAACCGAAGTATGCTTTGACCCTTGATGGAAATGGTATTTTTTATTTTTATTTGTGTTGGCTTAATATAATAGAATTATATTTTCTCATGCTAAATATATATTTTACAAATTCAGGTTCCCATGAGTCACCGGTAATTTTCGAGAAGGAATTCAACTACAAAAGTCACGGAAAGCATTTCGTGGTGAACGTATTCATTATTCAATATGTTAATAGGCTACGATAGTTTATATTTCAAAGAAAGTAGATTTGTATTTGAGTTTTGGAATGTTTAGTGTTGGTTTGAAGGCATATTCCTGTGTTTTTTTTTTTTTTATTTAAATGAATAATATATCGTTTTTTTATTTTCTTTTTACCATATTGTATATTTTGAATCATCTCAAATAAAACTTTCTTCAGAAAAAAAAGTTAAAATGTCGATTGGTTTAATTATTTTATCTTTCATGTTTTTGCGAGACAGACGTCGCGTTGAATAATGTATTATTAAATATAATAAGTGATTGCGCGAAGCGTAATAGTCAATAAATTGATTTTATTTTTTTCTTGTAACACTGCCTATCGATTAAAAAATTCAAACTTGCATGGATATTTTAAAAAACAAATAATATTTAAAAATATGCGTATATTTAGAGTTCTACGAAACTAGTTTAAACCGGTTGAACTTGAATCATTCCGATTCAAATCAAACTACCATCTTTTATTGTATAAAAAAACGTGATTTTTATATAATATAATTTATGATGAGTGAAAGTGGAGATCTAAGAGGCTTATTATCTTGTGGTTGGAACTGCCAAACTGCCAGTTAGCATGGTTTATGTGTTTTGAAAGCCGATCTGGTTGTTCAAACCGTTTAACGTTCTTAAGTATATTGATAATTAAAAAAATTATTTATTTAAATTAGAAAATGGAAACAATTTTAAGTTCGAAGCTAATAGCACCACATTAAAATAAATCTTACAGACTTGTAGTTCTATATTAACGCTTTGAACAAATTTATAAAAAATTATTTTTTATTATTTTTAATTAAGTAATTAATTTTATTGTTGAAAAATATTTCTATGTTTAAAATATTGGTAATTTAAATAAATAATAATTATTGCTTTTTAATATAAAATTTAATAAAAAAATTGGTTCAAATATAAAAAACCTATTTTTAATTATATATAAAGTATATATTTAATATATATAGTATATTAAAAAATATTTTAAAATATTATTTTTGTTTTCAAATTAAATTGCATATATTGTAAAATAAAAAATTTTGAATTTTAAATCTAATAACAATAACAAATTATTATACAATATTTTTTCAATAAATTATAAATTAAATTTGATAAAATAGGTTTTCATAAATAAAATTATAATTAATTCTATCTAATTTATATAAAACAAGTTATATACAGTATATAATTAAAAAAATTTTTTTTTTAACAAAAAACAGTAATTAGTTTCTTGTTTATTATATTAATTATTTATTACAATAATTTTATAATTATTAAATTAATATACTTTTTATTAGAAAGAATTTAATATAAGACTTAAAAAATTGATTTATTTATTTAAACTTTTATTATTAAGTTATAAAAAAAACTTATCAAAATCTATGATATTTTTGGATAATACTTAATAAAAAATTAAAAAAATATGTAATATTTAAATATATAGATTGATCTTTAAATTATATCAGAATTTGAAATATTTGCTTTCTAAAATTGATTTAATATATAATAAATATAATAAAATTTTTATAAAATCATTATTATTATTATTTGTATTATAATAAAATATATTTTTAAATTGTATTTAATTTATTTAAAATATAATTAATATAATTTTTTTTTTGTTTTTAAAAAACAATTCTTTTTAAATATCAAATCAAATTAATTACAAAATAATATAATAGATTATAATTTATAATTTTTTTTTTAGTTTTAACAAAGTCTATTTTATTAAAATATTTAATATTTACATAATATTCTACCCTTTTATTAAATAAAAATTAATATTTTTCTAATATAATTAAATTTAATTATAATTAATAAAGCCCATTTATCTGTTATGATTTCTTGTGATTTGTTAGTTTTTTTATTGAAAAGAACCAACATATCTAGAATTTATTAATGTTAATAATTATAATTATAATTTGTTACAAATATTATTAATTTAAAAATATAAATTTAAAATTACAAAAATATAATATAATAAAATTAATATATACTGAATACATAAATCCGTTAATTAATAAAAAATTTTATAATGCAATTTATAAAATTTCCATTATATCTTTCTTAATAATTAAAATTTCAAAATTATCAAAGGCCAATAAAATATAGTTTCCAAAAACGTATATAACTTTATAATCTCTAATATACATGTGCAAACGGCCTCGTAAGTATTATCAGAGTGAAAGAAATTGATAATGTTTTTATTTTTAAATTTTTCTAAAAAAATTAATTACAAAATGGATATTGATGAATGCAATTTAACGTTGCGGTGAGATTTTGATAATGCAATTTTGTATTTATTACAATTATTTCAAAAAAAAAAATTAAATATTCAGGTATCAAATCAATACCTGCAACCCATCCCCAAACTTATTTAAATTATTTTATATTTCTACACAATAAACGAAAATTAATGTTAGCCTAGAATTCCAAATTTAAAATAGAAATTCATATAAAATTAATAAAACCTGAAAGGAATCAACCATCCTTTCCTCAAATCCACAATTTATCATTCTATTTTCTCTTCCGTATTTTCAGCTTCGCTTAGTTCATCAGAATCTTCTTCATCTATTTTATCCAATTCAAAATAATCTGGATCGTCTCTTTTTCCAAAAGTTGTGTATTCTGAGTTTTCGGTTGTCGATGACATTGGAGAAGTTGGGTATTCCGGGATGACAAAGTTTGTTAGATCAGGATAGACTCGATTTATCCTGTCTTCGATGTCATCTTTGTCTCCAGGAACCAATAGCGAGAATTCCTCATCGTCCTGTGTTTCTGGAGTCATGGGTTTTTCTTGCTGGCTTTCTGAGTTTCCTATGCCTGAACTTAACGTAATGGCGGAATCTTCTTGATTTAAATCTTTAATTTCACCTTCTATTATTCGGTAAGTACCAATTACCGTTTCCATTTGATCCAACAAAAGGGTTATTTTGTTTTCATTTTCTATTACCCTCTGCTCCAATGCGACCTTATTTTTTGCTAATTTCTTATTCACGGTTTGAAAATCGCCAATCTGATCTTTTATCATCTTCCTTTCTTCTTCAATCTTTTTTATTTCCTGTAATTGATCACCATCATATCGTTCAGTTGGACTTGTTTCCACAATTTCTTGTGATTCCATTGGAAGTTTCTGCTTGCTTAAAAGTATGGTCCTTTCCAATTCCTGTTCAAGTTCTTTGCTCATCTTTTCCGATTCCAAAGTCTTTTTTTTAAAAATATCGTTAGACTTTCGAAGTGTGTCATTCTGAATTTTTAGAGACTCATAAACTCTCCTTAATGCTTCATATCCTTGATCCATCAGGCTCTTCTCATCCTGAGCATTGCTGATTTTTGTTTGTAACTCTATTATTCTTTGTTGCAATTGTTCTCTTTCTCGGAAAAATGTCGTTTCTTCAAGCATTTGTTGATTTGTGTGTTCCTGTAATAACGAATTCCTGACATTATCATGTTTGTCAATTAAGTTCTGTAATTCAAAAAGTTTTTGTTCTAATCCTGCGTTACTTTTTTCCACGGCAGCCAATTTTTGATTTAGATTATCTACATCTTTTTTACTTTGTGTCAATTCATCTTCCACCTTTTGTAATAATTTTTCCGTATTCTGAGCATACTTGACGGCCATTTGATAATCGGATTCTACTTGGTTTAACTTCTGCTTGAGTTGTTTAAATTGAAGTTGGGTTTTTTCTGCCTTTGTTTCTGCCGATCTTAGCTCTTGCTCTAGTTCTATCGAATATGAGGGTGATGGAGTTTTGACTCTATATTCGTTACTACTACCAATATCCAGAGATTCTTCGCTAGTTATATCGTCAGTATCTTCGTCAGTATCTGATTTCTGTAGGGATCCTTTGTATCTCGATAGTGAAGCTCTAAGCTCTTTTTGTGCTATTTCATGAAGTATCTCCAGTTCATCACACCGTTCTGCAATCTCTCTGAATTTATCTGCCACAGAAACTTGACTTGATTTAAATTCATCCTTCTTGTTTATAGCACGTCTCATCATTCTGATATTGGTTTCAGTATCTTCCGCGATCCTCTTGGATTTCTCTATTTGGGTTTGCCTTTGATTTAGTTGACTCCTAATGTCTTGTACCTCATCCGACGGTAATTTTTCGGATTCCAGCTGGCTGCACAAAGTTGCGAATTTTGACTTTAGTGCTGCTGCTTCTTCTAGTGCCACTTTATACATTTTTTCAAAGTCGGAAATCTTTTGTGACGCTGTTTCGGATTTGTTCGCCAAGGTTTCCTATCAATCAAAATGCAAAAAAGATTAATGTCCACCTCAAACATCTTTTTTATTCTATCACGCTAATTCATCTAGAATACTTTTGCTTGCTTCAACTGTTGGCTCAATTGGACAATCGCTTCAATAACTTTGAATTTCTCAGAGCCCGTCTCTCCAATGTCCAATAAGTTTTTCACGTCAATTCCTTCGGGTACGTCCTCATCGCCATCGTCTTCAAGTCCCAAGAGAAAACCTGCCTGCTTAGCCAAAGCCAATTTAGCCTTAAACCAAGTTTCTCTGTTCTTCATCTCAGCAATCTTAAGATCTTGCTCTTGCAACCTTTCCATATAAGCTTCTCGATCATAACTCTGCAGTGCGCCAGAATAATTTTCGTGATCATCGGAATGTGATGAAGATGTGTCACTGCCATCTCGAAACATCACCGAACCTCGATTTGAGATAATATTTTTGTCGATACCTGAAGGAGCAGAGATCGCGGCTGATGACTCGGCAATAATGTTGTCTTGATTTGGAAATGAGATGTCTTCAATGATTGGTGTCATCCTACTTGATCTGAATAGTGAATCTTTTGATTCCGTTGACTCTTCATTAGGAGAATGTATTAATCTTGAATCAATAATTCCACTTTTCCTTCGGTAATAGTTGCTCTCACTATCAAAAACACGGCTCCGTCTCCTACCAACATAATCCGTGTTTTCCAAGTTAAGATCTTGACCTCGTCCGCCGACGTAATTTTGCTTTTGATTATTGCTGCTCTCATTCTCAAGAATGTCGTCCTTATTCTTCTCGATCTCGGGAACACTATTTTTTGCGACTACAAGACTGGGACTTTGTCCTCCGGAGCCGTTCGCATTATCAAATTCATTTCCTTGTTTCCTACTGGTATTTCCCAGATCATCCTTATCTCGTTGAAAATTCTGTTCTTTCACATGACTCTCCAATGAAATTGTCATCTCTTGAGGGTTTTCATCATATGATTTTTCCACATTTGGTTTCCCTTTGTTTTCAGAAGATTCTAGTTGATCAGAATTTTTCATTTCACTTGATTGTTTATCCAGATTTGATAATTCTATAATCCCCCTATCAACAGCTTTCCCTTTATCTACAGAAGGCACGATAGTATTAATCTCCAATAGAGGATTTTTCAGTTGTCTTTTCGGTCCACCAGGACGAACTCTCAAAATTTTAGGTTTCATCGTCTGGGGAGAAACCGTCGTGTCCGGGCTTTTACTAGGACTTGATATTATGCTGCTGCTAGAACTTGCCAGAAACTTGTCCGAAAACTTGCTTAAGGGGTATTCATCGAGTGTCCTCGGTTTCCGAGAAAAACTTTGAAGTCGGTTCATGAGTGAAGAAGAAGGAATTAAATCTTCGACCATGTTTCCTTTGGATACGGAAATTTGTAGATTGGTTAGTGAAGCTTGTGGTTCTGCGAACAATGGATTTTGACGAGCGACTCTGGTAAACGTTGGTTTGGGAGAAAGGGATACCGGAGGTTCGGAAAGAGATCTCTTATGATACCTTTGTTGCGGCATTTCTCCCGGAAACGCACTGGTGGGATACTTTATCTTTGCTAAAATGAACGATTAATGCGGTTTAAATTTGTGCCGAAAAGTTTGCGCAGATAATTGCAGCTTCAGATTATTCCTAGAACGATGATACTGACTAGTGTCCAATATATGTATAGTTCCTTCCCCATCTGGCTTTGTTGTTTGTATCGAATCGCCGCCAAACACAAAAATTTTCTTCTGTGACAAGGTCATTGTATGGCAATATCGTGGGTATGGTGATGGACCCATCTTCTGAAACATGAACCACCTCTTTTCTGATCAAAAAAAAAAAAGAAAATTTTTTTCACAAATAAATAATTATTAAATGCTTCATTAAAAAGAATGAGAAAATACGCGTAATTGTTTTCAATCGGGCACTAACGATTTATGTTGAACGCAGCCAAATCTGCCAAATCTTTTCCTTCAATCGTTCGCCCACCAAATATGTAAATTATGTCATCGACAATGGAGGCGCAATGGCTTTCGCGCGGGTATGGAGTAATGCTACCACAAAAGACCTCTGACCAATAATTTTTTTGCGTGTCATAACACCACATATCATTATAACACCTTACTCCATCGGTCCCGCCAAAACTGAACGCCGAAGAATCGAATTAGTGAAAAGGTTGATGACACGATGAGAATTGCGACCATATGTTATTCTAATTTTTAAAAAAAAACACTCACATATAAATCTTTTCTTTATATGCGCACGCAGAATGCCCGGCCCTAGGGGTCGGGAGCACATTCAATGGAACCAAGAATTTCCAGGGTCTTTCAGATCTTGCTTTAAATCGTATGTTATAAGGAATATTAATGTTGTTTTCCGTAATGCAAATAACGGGGTCTATGAACTAAAGAAGATGAGGCATGGTTACAAACTTACGTGCCGTCGCATCAAACGCGAACAAATCATTAAAAAAAAGTCCACGTTCATTCTGACCACCAAATACATACATCACCGCCCCAACTAGCGTCGCCGAATGCCCATGACGTCCGAAAGAAATTTTTTCGAAAATAGAAATTTTTGACCAATGCTTCGTTACTAGAAAGATTTCGATGGATTAATTTATGGGAAAAAAAAAATTTCCTTACTGCAGTATTTTTTAATATAGTTACCTGTGTTAAGGATGTAAATGCAATCATCGGTTTCCCTTGGACTCTCCAGTATCCCTCCAAATACTAAATCGATGAGAAAGAAATTTATCCTTAGTGATATGTGATTGACTTCTTCTTTTCCAAATAGATGAGATAGATGACAATGATGTTATTGAAGAAATGCTTACTAATCATGTTATTCGCGATGTTAACTTGCGTGTGTCCTCTTCTCGCAAGTGGAACATCACCCGTTGTCTTGATCTGGTATGCGTCGAGTGTGTCTTATTTAATTAACGAAAGGAAAGTCGTGAAGAGAATAAATAGACATTCATTCATTCATAGTTAGGTTCATAGGATATTTGGAATTAATCAATAGTTATCTATTCATGCATTGTTTATTTATTTACTTGTTTCTATCACACAAACGTCGTTTTGAACTTTGCCGCCCACTACGCCGCCAAAAAGAAATATCTGATCGTTAATTGCGCGCTCGTTCGACGAATGGCCATATCGCGGAAAAGGATTTGACTTTCCGAGTTTCACCAGAGACCATGGAAATATCGGTCCGGTTGAGTTTAATCTTGATAGTAAAGTTAAAGCTTGAGGATGCGATGAACTTCCGTTGTCGGTTTCTGTGCGGCTCATTACCGATGACATTATTTTACAGAATGAGAATGAAGAATGCAGGTGATGAAGAGAATTTGGTAATTGGGGTTTTTGAGATAAAAGATATGAAAATATGACGGCGATTAGCTTTATCTATGAATAAATTTATTGTATAAATGCTATGGGTATTTTTCTTGCATAATGCTATTCATGAATACGCATATGTTTCTTGTATAATGCTATCTATGGTTAATGATTCTTCCTATCTGTTTTGCGTACGTACGTGGATAACTTTTTTTAAATAATACAGTACGTACGTACGTAAATATCATCCACCGTAAAAAAAAATTTTTGGGAACCTTTTTTATGCAAGTTCATTGTACTTATTGTTTCTCAATTGACACCAAATATAGAAAAATTTGCAATTGATTCGAGCTAACCAGGTTAATGTCGACACAAGCATTTGTTGACAAATCAAAATCCTTTGACCAGGACCAAAACAATAATGAGAGGCAGAAGTTATGACCATATGCGTGTGCATGGTCTGCACCGCGGCAGGAAAGTGTTTCGGAATAAAGTATGTTCATTTTCTCCTTGGAATATTGTGGTAGCCATTTCCAGCCCGGAATTCAAAAAGCTAAACTTAATTCTAAATAGTCGTCTACCTTTGATGTTAACTTATGCCCGCGGAAGATTCGATTAACTAACATGGTCGATTCCAAATTATATTTCAAATAAGAAATACGATACGTGCCTTGCAGGAATCACCTCCCATACGTGCGTATATCAGGAGCGACCTCAGCGCTGACTCCAGGACCGGAATAAACACAGAGAACACCTTGGCCAAATATGGGAGAATGTGTGCTGTTAAATTTTAATGTGACATTGTGACATGGTTGTTGGTTCATTATAGATAGACGTTAATCGTTTTCGCATATTAAAAAACAATTATGTTGGGTTTCATCATTTCATTTAATCTAATTAATTGTATTATCCAAAGATAAATCTGGGAAAAATATGTAAGATATTATTTGTGCTCACTCGCATCCATATATTAAAGATATGATCAAAAAAAAAAAAAAGATTATATTATTATTATTGAAATAATTAATTTTATTTATATTAATTTTGGTTTTGAAATTAAAAATTGCCGAATTTCTATTGTAATCTAATATAACCGATCATACAAGTTTCACTTGTGTTTTTCAATGACATTAATGTTGTGCGTGTCGGATCTCTCTTACCTTTATATTTAACATAAAGGCGAAGCTCAAGTGGATTAGCAGAAATGAAAAGACATGGTTTATTCGGAAATCTTTGAAAAATGTCGGGATAACGTGAACGTCGAATTCGTGCAATCGTCAGTTTTTTTAAAAAAAAGTTGAATAGGAATAATGTATAGGTACCTTGAAAATTATTATTATTTGTATACAATTGATTAAATTTTTTTTAAAAAAATTAACTATGACCCTTTCTAATACGTAGGACCACATAAAATGCGAATCTAAAGAAGAGACTCAGTCCCACTAGAGCGAGCTATAAAAAGAAAGATGATAATTAATCAAAGGAATTCTTTCATCCGCAAGAATGCGAGAAGTTGAAATAAATACATACCGCCCACTTCCAAGGCACGATTTCTGTGTATCCAAAAGATGCTAGAACATCCGTTCCCGTGAATTGACAATTCGATTCGAGCGTACTTGGGTAGTCGCATCTGCATGTTCCATTCGACTTTTCGCAATCAAACAACAAATCCGTGAAGTCGTTATGGATTATTCCCTCGAATGCATATTTCTGGTAGTCAATGTAATGTGCCCATTTCCATCCTTTAGGTATTGAATCACGTCTAACGAAATATCCTTCGACCACCATGAAGAAACCATTGGCAAATGCCGCGAGCGCTAATGCTGCGACGAATATTGGTATGCACACGGAGATGAATACTACCATTGATTCAGCCACATATAACGCCAAGAACAGGAATAACACAAATTTTGTAGCATGCTCCATTCCAGAATGTAGACCAATCATTGGATAGGCCACAATTGAGAATGATAAAGCTATTATCATTATAAATGGTATCGCTATCAAGGTGTTTGCCAATACGTATGGACCAACAGAGTAAAATCTATTCGCTCGTTCACGCTGGAATACTAAACGTTCCTCAAGAAATCCGGGAATTCCGGCGACACTCATGAACACAAGAAACGCGACGGAAAAGAAATGAGCCGAAAATCGATCCTGAACATTCTTCTGTTCGAAACCAACTTGCCACCACGTGGAACCCATCAAGATGGCCAACGCGACATACATTGCCACGCGTATCCAAAACATTAGGACGTTCCTAGATGCATTCTTCAATGAACGCATCATTATTATATAGGTTTGGGCAAAGAAACCGCGAGCGTAACGTTTTGTGGTTTCCGAGCTGATGACCATCGCCGAATCTTCAATTTCCGATTTTTCGGTAAGTTTTTCGATTTGATTGTCAACATCTAATTTGAACTCGGATTCATGGAATGCCTCGTTGAAACTGTCAATGAGTTTTTCGGCTCCTGACTGATCCCTCATGAAATCCGAGTTAACCAACGATAAGAAATGATCAGCGGGGTTTGCATATGGTGGACACGCAAAACCAAGACCATCAAAATATGCGATGGCATCTTCGCGTTCACCGAAATAAAGAGTTTTTCCGCGGCCAAGAAGTAGTAATTTATCGAATAACGAATAGGTTTCAGTGGATGGTTGATGTATACTTGCGATGACGGTGAGCCCGTGACCCTGTGCCATGGCCTTTATGGATTTCATCACATTATACGCAGCAGCAGAGTCTAGACCGGTGGTGGGTTCATCGAGGAAAATTATGTTGGGTAAGGTAATTATTTGCGAGGCGATGGCGCATCTACGCTTCTCACCGCCTGACACCCCACGGACAAAGACGGTACCAATCTTTGAGTCGGCCACACGTTCAAGACCAAACTCTTCTATGATGGCTTGGACGCGGGCCTGCCTTTCAGACTCTGTAAAATCTGGTGGGAAGCTATGAAGTTGAAAAGACAAGTAAATACGAGTGCATGACATTCATTGTGCACAGATCAGAATTTATAAACTTGCCATAAGTCTGCGGCCTGGTTGTGAGGATTTATTGTTTATTTTATAGTAAAAAACAAAAAGAAAAAAAAGGTTATCCTCTTTTGAGCAAGTTAAACTCATTTTGAACAGCACACCAGCAAAGAATGAAGATAAACCTACGAATTGTATATTTTCACGTATAGTCAGCACACCTACAATTCCAATAGACCACTGGTCAATATATAGGATAACCGATGAATTAAACTCCACACGAAATATCTAATTACCCATCAAAGCGTCATCCTGCATAACGTAGGTAGATACGTATTTGATTACACCAGGTTGACCATTAAGAAGGATTTCTCCAGATACCGCCTTTGGATCTTTACGCCCGGCCAATAAATCCAAGAAACTCGATTTTCCAGCTCCCGAGGGTCCCATGACTGTTTAAATTGAATGACCCGACAGGTCAGGGTTTTATTAATACAATAGAATACTCCATTAGTGCCCGATGTTGTTGATGTTTGTCGGCTCATTAATAAAAAAAAAAAAAAATACTTACTGGCCATAATTTCACCGGGTTTCACATAGCCGCTAACATTCTCAATGATATTTCGCTTGCTATTGGTTTTTGGATCGATTATCGAGTAGCAAACATCTTTCCAGGAAAGACTAACCCCTCCCTGATAGGAGGTGGACATCGTTTCCGACCCAACTGGATAAATGAATTATTATTATTATAAGTTACCATTCATTAGAGATTTCCAAAAAAAAATTTCAAATTGGATTGAACAATTACCAAATTCATCTTTGATCGAGACAGTAAATTGTGACATCTTAATAAAGAAATATTTTTTTTAACCTGTCGAAGATGACTTTGCTCGCCTAAAATAATGTCACGTCTTTCGATTAACGATTCACGTTGAAAAAGTGGTTTTTATATATAAATTCCAATTCATCAAACGTTTTCCATTTTTAGTATTTTAGTGTTGGTATAGAGACCTACTTTAAACCATCAGCATTTCACATGATAAATACCGATAAAGTTGATGAATTTCTTTCTTGAATGATCATAATAACTATGCAACGCAATGTTGTGAATTGTTACCAAAATTCATCGAATAGGCCAATCCATTTGTCCATCAGTTTAAACGTAATGCCAGTTGAAATTTCATTCGCTATTACACGAATCAATGTCACGATCACAAGTAAACATTTATGCGGATTGAAGAAAAGTCAGCCAATTTTGAGAGCCACACACTGTGAACAAAGAAAAAGCCGCCTATGTACAAGTGAGGGGAGGTGCGGAGTGAGTTTAAAGCACACGGAATACATACACATTTAGGGGAATTGAAAAAAACAACAAAATCATGTATGAATTAATCTATACCATTTAAGATTTTATCGGATTTTCATAAAAAAGCTCGGATGGATCGATTCGGTTAGGACCAAGTTAATTAATTGATTTGCTCCAAGGTGTCTGAAGAAAATCCCTGAGCGCGTGGTCATATGTTGACTTTTAAATTTCCTAATAAAGGCCCTAAGATCACACTACCACTTGATCTCTCAGGCAGTGCAGATGAAAATAGTGGAGATTGCGGACGAAAAATGATCGCGACAAAATAGGAGGATGACGACGTAGAAATAATGTTAGAAATATAATAAAAATTTTATTATGAAATAACCGATTCCTATCGAATGCAAATCAGGATGAAATGTGCGATTGGTAACTCGATAAAATGGGTGTAGTAAATGAAAAATTAAATTTTATATCGAGATAGCAGATTAAAGGTTACTACTAACTGTAACCGGAATTCAAAAAAAACTTTTAAAATAGCCATTTGTAATTTAATGACCTTAAAAATCAATGAAATTTCAAATATCTCAATGATACAATTTAGTGTATGTTTTTTCGATAAAGAAAAAAATTTCTGTTTGTTATCTCTATCGCTTTGCCTCCTTTATCGTTTCATTTTTTTTGGTGCCAAATTTTCCCAGTCATAATCGAAATTAAATATTTCCAAAAATAGTATTCTGGACACCATACTCTTCACCTTTTATTTTTGACGACGTAAGACGTAATAAAAATAGATTGTTTTCCTATTTTTAAATGTTAATTCCCTCTTTTAAAAGGGACGTTTGGAAAAATTATTTTTTAAAGAGAGAATTAAAAAGGATCATTTACATTTTAATGAATGCAAATTGTTATAAAAAACACTCGCGAAATGTATTATCGCATCGCCGACAATTGAAATGAATTAATCACTGTAAACACTTCATATGGTTATATTCGGATCTTTTAAAAAGAAAATCGCGTAAGCAAAATTTTTAATAAAATATTTGATTTACCAAGTGCCATTAAAATATATTCCTCTTAAAAAGTATAATTTAATAAATTTTTAATTCCTATATTATAAGTACAGTATATATACATGTACAGTATGTTATAATAATAAAAATGGTTTCTCAATATAAAAACTATATCCAGCAATTATTTACTGTAGAATTAATAAATTTTTTTTTTAGATTTCTTTTCAATTTTGTATTTTATTTAACATTGGCGCGGTGCTTAGATGATCTCATAATGTTTACCAACATAAAGGTAAATTTCGGCGGGACTCATTATTTCGGTATCTCGTATAACCAACAACATTTTTTTTTTATCCCGATTCATTGATTTAAGTTCTCAATTCAGATTGCTAAACCTAAAATGAGAATTTTTCTTGACAGAACTATTAACACGTCTTAATCCATCATTTGCCGACGCATGTGCTACATATACACAACAAAACCCCTCAATAGCAAAATAGGTAAGTACATGGCCGATAAATGCGTGTGGACCGATTAGGTTTGTTTTTTCCATTATTCCGGAGTACGTATTTACTTTATTGAAAACGAATGCTTTACAAAAATCAATGTATTAAGTTCACAATACATCGTATATACATTGTACAGCCACCTCCTGAGGTAACATCCAATCGAATCCTGTCACTAGAAGAAAAAAAAGGTTTTTCATTGATCTAGATTTGTCGATTTGTTTTTCTTGAATATTAACGAAAATTAAGGATAGAATTGTTTAATACAAAGACTGGAATTTCAGAATCTTTCTCAATCATAAAAATTTAAGAATCAAGAAAAAAAAAAGAAGCTTGTAAATAAAGCTATTAATAATAACCAAATTATTGTATACGTTGATTTATAAAATATCATTAGTATTATTAAGTTGATACACTGTGTATACTGTATATAATAATTTGCTTTATTAATTTTCATAAAATAAAAATATAGTGTATTTACCTATTAACGTTGTTGTTTTTTTTTGTTTAAATATATTCAAATTAACATCTTGAGTTTTTTTACATAATAAAACAAATCAATATTTATTTTAAAAAAAATTTATTAAGATTTGTTATCAGTTTTAAAAATAATAATGATATATTTTTAAATAACTTTTAGAAATTGTAATATTGATATTTCATTATCATTATAATTTTTCTTTTAATCAAACTACAATCAGAATATATTTATTGATTTTTGATCAAAATATGATCATACAATAAATTAATTAAACATTTTATTAATTGTAGTATATTAATTAATAAATATATAGATTTGTATATGGTTTTTAGATTTTAAATATTAAAATCATTTGTATTGCATATAATCTAACTATTCATTAACTATTTAATTATATAAGAAAATCAATTTATTAAATTATTATTATGTGATATTAATTATTAAAAACTTTTTAAATCCTTTTAACTTTTGAATAATAATTATAAAAAACAAAAAATTCATTTCTTTTAAAAATAAAAATGTTTTTTTGAAATTTTTTGAAATTAAATTTTGAAATTAAATTTTTTAATTTAATATATAGATTTTTTTCTTTGTAAAAAAATTTTTTTAATAATTTTTAATTTGAAAAATTTTGAAATTTTGAAATTTAAAGCTTTTTTTTTTATACCAAAAATAAAATATAAAATTCTATAACTTCATAAATTTAAATACAATAAATTTAAAAATTAATCAATAATAAATATTATATTATATTTTTTTAATAAGAAAATTTTTTTATATTTTAATTTATAATTAATCAAGATATTAAAATTTTTAAAAAATTTTACAAAAAGTTTTATTACATACTGTATATAAATTTATATATATAAACTGTTTAGAAAATAAAAAAAAAAATTGTTTTAATCCATACTGCCCCTAGCGGAAACTCACACTCCAGCGATATCCAAAATGAAATCATCATAGACTTATCAACAATCGTCACTAATTCATTTATACAATGTAATTATAACTACAACAAATGTATTCAAAATCTAGTATCTTCTCTTCCATATACCATTCCCCCTAATACTGAGTAGGTATTCATAGCTGCTCGGTGCCGTATGGCAAG